CCCAAAACCAGGAAAACACAGACAACGCTGAGGATGTTAACAAAGTATGTTCCAAAAAGCAATGAAACATGAAATGCTAGCCTTTTACTTTCTTGGCAAACAGCCTACGCTAGAGAACAACTGCGTGGGACCAGCAGAGAGGCAACTTTCTGCAGTGGTGAGCAGGCTGCCCGTCTGGCTGCGTAGCAGCTCTTCACCCCATGCATTAGTCCGACTTCTTCGGCAGACTCACGAGCAGATGGGAGATCTATGGGATCAGAGCAACGGAGTTTCTCCTGGCAATATGTCAGAGATACAACCCACTGACTGTGTCTCGACATGCCACACCCTCACAGTTTATCCTGCAAACTATGACAATCGATATAAATGGCTTGCACTAATCTGAAGTGATGAAGAATCACTCACCTACTTCTCCCAAACAAGCGGTCCCGCTACGGAAATTCCAAACTCACCTTCCACTGTCCCCCAGCGTTTCGAAGTGCAATTTCATGGCAAACTCAGTTGCTTCCTTCAGTTCAGATCTGTCTTGTCACAGACACAGCAGCAGCATCCCATCTATTCCTTGGTGAAATCACGAAACGCAGACACTTATGCTTTAAGATTTTCTGAAAAACTGACATTTTACCAGTCATAAACGAGAAAGACAGTTACACCTCTGCAAACTCAGAATAACTGCACTCAGCAAAACTGGATGTATTCTGTAATTACTTCTTGTAATCCCAAACATGCAGATCAAGATTATCTATTGAAATGCCAGGCGTAAGTTATTCTTTAACTAAAACCATTCTGTAATTTTATTGATATATTTTGTGGAGTTCACATATTTTTGTACAGCAAACATAACACTGTAGGCCACAAGAAGCTGCAGCACTATTGTTTAATAGCAGCAAGGTATATTTTATAATCAGGGTATGTGGACAATAAATAGTCTGTTTCTTTGGATGTGAATGTTTAAAATGAAGTTCTGCTGCAGCTTCATAATGTGATTGCTATCTTACAGAGCTTATACACAAAAATATATATGCAATCTTTTTGTCTATATTTTATACAAATACAACAGTAGTTTGTGAATACATTTTAAAGTACATATACATGATAAGCAACTCAATTTCCCATATCACAGGATAGCAAATTTTAAATGCAAGAAACATATACAAATTCAGTCTGGAATGCAGGGTTTTCTGTGTTCTTTTTTTTTTCTCTATTTTTGACTCAAAACTTTTATCATTAAAACATTTTAGCATACAAGTCCAAACAATTTTTCCACTAGCTAAAAATATAATTTCAGCAATCCAAGTCAGGTTTGGGTGTGTCATCGTTCCCCAATATACTTTTCCCAGTTTTTGTCTAAACTTAAAGGCTTTTAGTAATATATAGTATGTTCTTCACTCCACACCATATAAAAAGCCCACATTTAATTTTAACTAGCAGTCACCTATTTTTTTGTGAACAAGAGCTGGGCTTGTCAGCGTTTAAATTTGCATGTCCAAAATTTTACTTTTGCAAGTGCATATGAATACATTGTGGTGTTGCACAAAGTTCATTAATGACAAATTAAGTCACAGTATAAAAATATATCATACAACTATAGGTCTAGTATAGTCCTTTTTTCTATGGGTAAAAATACATCTGAATGAGACAGGGAGGTTTGTAGCACCATGAGAGGAGTTGTATCCCAAGTTACATTAGCAGCATGATCCAATATAACAATATTGCAGGAGTGTTTCTGAGGAGATAAACATTCACTCTGGTTCAACTGTACCACTGAAGCTTATACTGAAAAGTGTTTACATATGATTAGCAATAGTTCTGTGTCACTTCCAGGGCTAGATAACTGTTATCAAAAGACACTGCCTTCCAACAAAAGTAAGACACCCTTTTTGCATAAAAGCTTTGGGACTATCCAAACACATTTTGAACTACTGTGGCGTTACTTGCACGTTGAGCGTGATGCTAAGTAGGCTGCAGTTTTAACTGTACACTGGGAGGATGCAGGATGGGCAGCTAAGCCTATACGGTTTACTGCATACCAGATAAGTACATTTATTTCAGAGGCTTATCTATAGACTGAGAAGAATACAGGATGAGCTGCTAAACCAGTGTATGAGACAGACATAACGAAGGATGCAATCCTGCTCCCCTTGACCTTTACGGATGCAGGATAAGGCCCTAAGTTAACGTCAGACAGCAGCATAGTGATGATAGGATACGATAAAAAAAATCTGTATCGAATACTGCATGTTAAACATTTTCGCCATAGTTTACCATCCAGAACTCCAGAGGACACAGTTTGCAATTGGTGAGGACAAACTCCTAATTTTTGTTGACTGGTATTCAAAATGGCAGTAGAAGACAGTGTAGTTTGAAACATGTAAACCTAGTAAAAACCATTGTAAAACCCTTAAGAAAGACACACTGGTTCTGTGCAATATAGCAAATTGATAAGAAAACACTGTAAAAATGTACCTGTTTAAAAAATTACAATGTCTACCATTTTGTACACAAAGCATTATACCAAAGGCCTACATATATGTAATCTAATGGCACTTGAAACAAATTATAATAAAAGGTTTTATAATAAAAAGCATAACCTGTAAGAAATTTTCTTAAAAGGTTTAGGTTTTCTTTTTGAAAGTGCTATATCTTGTAATATGTGTAACATAGAGGTTGACCAAGCTTTATTTTAAAAAATATTGGCCTATAATACATGTTTAGCTCACTAGGCAAATGATCCTGAAAATATGTACTCTTAACATTCATTATTAGCTTAATAAAGCAATCAGCTCTGGCTCATGTTTCAGTCAGTATATGGTTTTTAAAAACCGCTACTGCCAAATTAACAATAAATCACTCTATTCCACAATTTACTACTAAATAAAGCACAAGCAACAAGTACACAAAAATATATATATTTTTTAAAAAAACAAACCTTACTAGAAGTTTAGAAGTTGCACAAAGAGTGGTGCATGATCAGCCAGCCCTCCCCCCTCCCACCGAGAATCCATCTGAAATCGAGAAAACGGTTGAAAAAACTGACGGTTTGGTAGTGGCCAATATCGACTCTGCCTACGTGACATTCCAACGCGCTCCGGCGGTGGTAGCATTGCTTACGGCGTCAGTCTGCTTCCATGGACACCCCAGTTCAGCGGCACACACACTCGGTGCAGCCACCCACTGAAACCCTGACTGAATGAGGTTCAATATTTTGTCTGAGGTCTCTATTTCTCAAGTGAAATGTACGTCTAACTCCAAAGTGAAATGTTGATCCCTTTTCAGGAAGCTAAGGCACGAACAAAGGAGTAAGGATCCTGGCTACGCACTAAGAAACGGGTGTTGGCAAAGTGTCCGTTGGGTTTTGCTGTTTTAAAGAAGTCTAATCGGCAGCTGAGACTGATAAACAGTCGCTAAGGATTGGAAATTTGTGTGCCAGAGGCTGGCCAGCCACGCTGCCGGGCCGGCCGCAGGATGCCGAGCACTCGCAACTTTCCTCTGCTGCAGTGGAGGAGGCTGCAGATGCTCGGCTCCATGCGGGACATAACCCACTGGAGGAATTAAGTCCATTTATCTTCATCTCAGATTGCTTTAAAGGATTGAGAATAAACCTGAGTTCTTCCTAGATGCGTTATGGTTGCTGATTTAAACTAGAGTTACATTCGGTTGCGTTCACCTTGTGCTCTGTTCATCTGTGTTTTTCTTTCCTTTAGAAAGGTGAAGAGAAAAAAAAGCAATATTGAACAAATCATTCAACTAAAGATGTGAGTCAGCGAGCAATCTGTTTCATAGAAACCAGAGGAAGCAGTCATGAAGCAGAGCTAAAAGCCCACTTTGAGATAACGTGCTCCTAAACCCAAAATCTAGGAGTAGTTTGCAGAATTTCAAAAGGTATTTTCCTTATTAATACATCCTTATTTTAATGCCTTTGGAACACAAACACGTTTATAAAAATGTTATCTTTCAGTAATAAAATTTAAATACACATATGTATAAAATAGTAAAACTACACCTGCATATTGCTCCTAGAATTCAAAAAAAAAAAAGTAGGAGCTACTGATAAAACATTCGGAGCATGAGCTCCTTAAACGGGAGCAACTTTTGTTTCTGTGAAGTATATTTAGTTTAACCACTTAAAACCTTGTATGAATCCTCATTATTGTTTGAGAGATACTAATGTACTTGATTTCTATTTTTTAATTCCTTGTACAAAAATGACAAGGAAAAGAATGTTATCTTTGAATTACAGCAAATCTAGTTTGCTACCATGCATCACAGGGTTGGTGTGGGGTTTTTTTTTTTTTCCTCTTTTGGTTATAAGGGGTTGGGGAATAGAATATATTGCATTAGGTAAAAGTGGTGTAAGCAATATGCTTTTACTTCACTCCTAAGAGTCCTGTCTTTAAATCTTGGCAATGGGCAAAAAGTCCCTAACCAAGTACCCAGGTGTAGAAAGTGTGATTAACATCTAACTTGTTGCTTAGGAGGACATAACACACCATGTAACACAACTGAAAAGGTAATTCCGATTAAAAAAAAAAAAAAGGCAAACAAAACAAAACCTGGTATTTGCAAATTCACATTCACTCTGACTGCACACTAGTTTTGAACTGAAAATAGATACACACTTTCTGGCTGGACTTGATCCACCCTTTGGCGGTGGCAGCTGGGAGAAGACTGATGCCTACAAATGTGAATATACTATTGAAAGATTCCTATGCAGTACTCTTTCTACGCTACTACAGAGAAAAAACAGCAAGTTAAGAATTAAAACAAAAACTGCGACAAAATATTCTGCATTACTAAATTACAACACTTTCATATTTCAAGATCAGCCATTAATTTCGCCTGTTTCCCTCTACCAGAGTCATGAAAGCACAACAACACAGTTCCAAATTCAACTTGAAACATTTGTCATTTAGGCAAGCAGAGATTCTCTGTTGAAATTCTGTTCAGCCACGATTTTAGAGAATTAAACTAATTTTTTTTTCTTCCGCTAGTCGTAACAGGCCACAAAAATTTAAGCCAGAAAATGGCAAAATTCTTAACATCTTTTATAATGACTTTAATACAAGTCAAAATGTTATATATATGTACATGTGTATATATGGACTTCTATATATACACACACAAGTTTTCAGAAAAAACTGAATTCTGTATTTATTTAAAAAATTTAGATTTGTCTTTACAGAAGATTTCAGATGAGTCAACATTTGGGAAGAGGACTTGTTTGGAAAGGGACTGGAGAATTTTTTTTTTCCCAAATCTTCAGCGACCTTTGTGATACATATTTTAACTGGATTCTTTGCAAATACTAAAATATATTAAAAGGTAAAAGTGGTAGTTCTACCACTGACATCAATAAAATGGAATAGCTGGTATGGTTGTAAAAGTTTTACAAAAGGGATGAGTGTTGAGAGTTTGCTTGGGATGACTTTCTACTGAACATTTTAAATGTGTCAATTGGCAGTGAAAATGAAAACAATATAATGAGACTGTTTTTTTTTAAAAAAAGTAAACACAGCTGAGAATAAACACTTTCAAAACATTTTTTAAAAAGTTAATTTAAATTTCTTACTGGCTTCAGGAGATTGGTACTGTACAAAAGCAGAGAATTTATAATGTCTTATAGTAGGCACTAAGTTAAAAATGGTCACCTAAGGCATTTCTACAAATAGACAGTAACAAGCCAGCTTTGTACATCCTATTGGAAAGCTTGATGAAATCGCGGTAGGGTGGTGGTTGTGCTTAGACTGCTCGTGAAAGCTGCTGACAACGAGTGCAGAGACCCAAGACCTATACTATTGCTAGGATCTTGTGGATCCTGGGTTTGTGGTGGAAGCTGAGTCATAGAAGAATGTGCCTCCTCTTGCGTGTAACTCATTCCGAGGTTTCCCACTGAAACAGAAGGATTATAGGGAGGGCCATTTACAGGTATGAAGTTGAACAGCTGAGAAAAGTCCAATGATGGGGTGTTTAGAGGTTCGCTAATAGGAACGGAGCCCTTGGAAAGGGAAACCTCCCCAGACCCATCATCTAGTGGCCCTACTTGTGGATCCAGCCCTAGTTTTGATGAAGACGCTTGAGAATCCTGGGATGAAGAAGGCATACCACTTTGCAACTCCATTAAGTAACTTTCGATTTCCCCTTTCAATGGCTGTTCTTTTTCAGGCATAGAAATTGCGTATGAGGTAGTACCGAGTGGATATTTCAACGATAGCTGGTGAGAAGGGTGGACAGACTCCATATCTATTGGACAAGGCATTCCCAATGGTAACGATGTGGCAACCATTTGGTGTGCAGATGCAGAACTCTGCATGGACTGAATCTGAGTGTTGTAGAGATTTAATTGCAAAGTGTTTGTAAATGGCTTTGATGTCAGTTCACTGGAAGGTAAAGACATCACTGGAAGCAGCTCATCCTTAATAGGCACAGAAACATTGCAGGTAAAGGGATCTAGAAGGTCCATTGGCTCTGTTTTGACCTTCAAAAGTTCTTGGTTGTGACTTTTCTTCATGTGGCGTGTGAGGTGATCCTTCCGCCCAAATCTCTGTGCACAGTACTGACAGAGGAAGTCCTTTCTTCCAGTGTGCACTACCATGTGTCTACGGACATCCTTTCGGGTGTAGAACCGACGATCACAGTGTTCACACTGGTGTTTTTTCTCCTTCACTCCACCCGATGACTTGCCTGCGTGAGTTTTTAGGTGCTCCAGCAGCACTCCTGTGCTTTCAAAAGTCTGCAAACATACCTTACAGGTGAGGTCACCGCTTGTTGCAGCATGCAAAGCCAGGTGACGTTTGAACCCAAGCTTGGTATTGTAGTTCTTTCCACATTCTTCACACTTAAAGGCCTCTTTGTTGGGATTGTGTGTATGTAGGTGATTCTTTAGGTGGTCTTTTCGGTGAAACATTTTCTCACAATAATTACACTTGTGGGTTTTCTCAGGAGAATGAGTAGCCATATGCCTTTAAACACAGATATATTCTGTAAGTAATTATTTTGATCAAAAAACACACGTGCTCATTTTTTAATGGCAGCTAAATACTACGCTAAGGGCTGTTTTGCAACAGAGCCTTTTAACTGAAAGCATGACACTACAAAGACAGTTTGACAAATTTAAATATAGCAAAACGCGAGCCATTTCTCTTAAATTGACACTTTAGTTTTGGTGAGTTTTAGCTACTGTAACAGGGATATATGAGCAAGTATGAAAGTACTCGTGTAAAAGTCCATAGCCAAAAAATTTTCAGTCCGTACTCTCTTTTTTCTCGTGACAATTCCTTACACAAATGAAAATTCTATGCTCATTAAAAAAAAAAACCCAAAACAACAAACAAACAAACAAACAGAAAACAAAAGCAGAAAACAAATTAAGAAACAAAATCAAAGACATTAGCTTGCAAACTTAGGTAATTAAGAATTCTAGAAACAATCCAATGGCTACTTTAATTAACACATCCTCTCTGCAATCAGCTGAAGGCGTACACAAATATATACTTTTACACGGCTTAACACGGCCAACATAAAATAGATAATATAATCTGAAAGATAAATAGAGTTTAATACCTTAGTAATTTGTACTTAGAAACAAAGGCCTTGGTGCAGTCTTGTTGTGTGCACTTGTAGGGCCTCTCTCCTGTGTGAGAGTATGAGTGAACCTTTAATTTCTCAACACTGTTAAAGGCCTTGTCACACAGTTGGCAAGGAAAGTTTTTTCTTGGTTTGGTTTCACCACGCTTACGTTTCCCTGAAGGGACTTTCTGGGTATCTCTTACTTCTGACAAATCACCAGGAATGACAGTGGCCATCGCAGCCTAAACCAGGCCTTCTTGTTGGACACTTGGGAATTGCCCAACTCCACTAAATGATTTAGCTTTAGATGGCTTCTCAAGTTTCATGTGGTCGTAAAAGAAAGCAAAAGGGGACTGGAAAAAAAAAATAAGAAACAACTAGTTTGTAACTAAACTTAGATTTTGAAGTTTACTTGCTATGTGATGCTTCTGAACAAAACTTAAAAATAAAATTAGGTTCAGCTGGTCTAATGTAATACCCGTAGGTTTCTTTACACTATTTGCTGCAACTCTTAAAACGCATTGCTCAGGATGAACGGATCCACATATGCCCTGAAATCACACCTCGCAACTTTCCCCTCAGACATCGATGGAGGACAGCAAAGTTTCTCCCGGATTACGGGAGGCATCAGGCAAAGAGCCCACCTACCCAGACAGCTTTCAGCAGCTTTGGATTTCAAAGGAATTAAAGCCGTGCCTGTCGCGTTTGCACAGGCACGCACACATGCACGCACACAGTTAACCAAAGTGGAAATCTGTAAGCCTCGGAATGTCTGAACACCTGCGTGAGAAGCGGCAGTGCCCACACTGATACCTGGGGAGGCAACGCTCATGTTCTCCGGCGCGCCTCCTCCTTGTGACCGCTGCACATCTGTGCATCTGCTCTAGCAAAATGTACGCGTTGCCAGTGATTGCTAACGCCAGGTGAAACTCTCCTCTAGATTTACCCTCTGCCAACAGAGACTTGACGTATTAACAACAGAAATCCCACAGACTGGGGATAGATTAAATACACCTAAGGTTTCACCAGACCAGCGCTGGAGACCCCCACCCTCCTCACGCTATCCTGCAAGGTGTAGGGGCTGTAAGTGCTGGGATTTAGGCTACATCGGGATGGTGGCTCTGAGTCCTGCTGGGGCACTGCAAACCGTGAACTAAACCGGAGGCTTTCAGCTACCGGAGGTGCACGAC